ATTATATGCCAGTTGCTTTTGAGTCTATTCCAACTCATAGTGACCCTCATGTGTGTCAGAGCAGAACTGTGCTCCATGTAGTTTTCAACGGTTGATTTTTCAAAAGTAAATCACCAGTCCTTGCTTCCAAGGTGCCTCTGGGTAGACTCAAACCTCCAATCTTTTGGTTAGCAGCCAAGAGTGTTAACCATTTGCATCACCCAGGGACTCCACCTATTATATAAGTAACTATAATTAATATTTTCTTTATGGTTTTTTATAAATAAAAGATGAAAAAGTAATTTGGGTGGAATAATGCTATATGTGCAAAAGAAACTGTTGCCACCTGCAATGTTTGTCAATTATAGATTTTCCTTCTTGCCTTTGAATTCACAAAGCACAGGGCTCTTGCCACAAGTTCAGGTCAAATGGCTGTAGCATTTTCTGAGTGAAATACATAAAATCCAAGTTAATGGGTCGTTCTTTTTGTTTTTTTGATTGTTCATTCTCAGAGATCTGAATAAAAAGTCATTACTGGAGATTGAGAACCCTGTTTGATGGTGACAGCTAGAGTTGTCTGCATGAGAATGGAGGCAGGACCCCACTCCAACAGGCAGCTCTATAAATAACTGGTTTGGAAGTTCCCTGGTGACCCCTGGCAGCCCTGAGAGGACAATGCCAAGAGAGTAGGAGAGGAGAGATAAAAGTCGTGAGGAACCACTAAGGTCAGAGTCCACGGGGAAGAACAACTGGGACCTCCAGGTACTGGGGCCACTAGTGGTAGCCCAGAAGTCAAGGAATCCAAAGGCCCTCACTGAACCTGTGGGCTGGGAGATCACTGTCCCACTGGGGCCAGTCACAGCCCAGGTGACGGGAAAGGGATTGTGGGTGGGCATGGAGCAAAGATGGCCCTGAGGTAATCCTAGTGTCCCTGGTTCAAGGACCTCCAGGCTTGACTCAGCTGTTCTCTTTAGTTTCATCATCCCATGATGCATTGGGCATTCCCAAGAGCCTCTGGGAGCATAGACAGGGCATGGGCAATTAAGGAGGGCTGAACAAGCCTGTAAGGAAAAGAGAAAGGAAGATTGTGACTGAGTAGGGAGAGGAAATTGCCTCTTCAATAGGGGAACCTGGATCTTGCCATCCACTGCTGAGTAGGTAGAATTTGTGCCCCACCCTTCCACAAACCCTAGGAAATGTGCCATTAGAAAAGAGTCTGAGTTC